AAAATATACCTTCACTGTTTTCAATAATACAGCTTTTACCGCTGTCGCTTACTTCTGAATCGTCAAACTCAATAAAATAAAATAATCGATTAAATTTTAAAATTAATATAACTTGCCTTGTTTATTCAGCATGAAACGAAAAGAATTTAAAAAATTGCATGTTATTCGGCGTAAAGTGTTAACTACTTTGTGTTCTTTTTACTGAAGTATCATTACTGCTCAAATCTGTAACGTTGACATCATCTACAAAAAAAAAAAAAAAATTAGAAAAACAGATTTTTTTTATCATTGTTTCTCGCTAACAAACAGATAAACGAAGAACTTCAATATATACATACATACATTACATACATACACACATACATTAAATACATACATATATATATATATACATACATATATATACATATATATATATATATATATATATATATATATATATATATATATATATATATATATATATATATATATATATATATATATATATATAAATGTATATATGTATATATACATATATATATATATATATATATATATATATATATATATATATATATATATATATATATATATATATATATATATATATATATATATATATATATATATATATATATATATATATATATATATATATATAGTGAAAACATCTATACCTTTTACAACAGTACTTTCAATGAATTTTTTTATATGTATTTTTTTGTGCGTTCCCGATATTTGCATACCTTTATCATCTTTTAATCTAAAGTTCCCACATTGTGTTACATGAGAAACAATAAACGGACCTTTAAAACGTGGTTTTAATGCAGCACCTTTTGATCTACGACCCCTAATGTGAAGTAACAATACTTTATCTTCAACGTCAATGGATTCCTTTTCAATTTTTTTACACTTCAATACTTTTTTATGGTAATGTATCTTTTGCTTGTTTTGAGCATCTTTGATGTTCTAAATTTTGCTAAATTGCTAACAAACGCAATTGGTACGTACCTGGCTTTTATATTATTTAATGTTATTATTGCTATTTGATAATGTTATAACATAGAACCTTACAAACCATATATTGTGAGATTTTCAATGCGAAGTTTGTTTTTTTCCATTTCACTCGTTATATTATCATCTGTTGCATTCACAAATATTTTGTTCTTTAAATAAATTTTAAAACTTACGATATATTTTTTTATACATTGGTTTTATAAATTAGCTGCCAACAATTCAAATAAATTTTATACTTTTAACACAATTTGGTGACATGTGTACGTATGTGATATAAATTGTTTGAATAAATAATAAAAAAAATTTTACTTCCTCAAATTCACTAGTACAAACAGGTGACCGACCACCAAACATTATTTCAAAAGGGGATACTTTTGTAGATTGTTGCCTCTCCACTCGTAGTGGGTACAAAACAATATCAACATATTCGTCCCAATTTGATTGATTTTCATTAACCAGTTTTCTTAACTTTCTAAAAGTACAAAAAGCGTTAATATTTAATAACTGACATGAAAATCTAAATAATTTTGTAATATACATATAAACATAATATGCAATAAGATAAATTTGATAAATTCTAACTATTCAGTAAATATGGAAGTATTATAAATAAAGAATACGTTTGACAAAACAAGAATGGTTACATTTTAAGATGCGCTTAATAGAAATTATTAATCACTTAAGCGGTCCTCACCCAAAACAAAAAACATGATAACCTTTTTACATTTTTATTGGTGTTTTCGTCTTGTCCGTTGCACTGTGGGTGATAAACGGCTGTCTTTCTTCGTTCAATACCCAGCATTTTGTACATTTCGTGGTTTAACTAAAAAATTAGGATTAGTAACAAAAATAACAAACCCTTAGGGTTTCATTATCATTATTTTAATTTATTTTTACCTGATTACAAAACTCAGTTCCATTATCTGAAAGTATTGCCGAAGGAAATCCAAAAGTTGTAACTAATTTAATAATAGCCTTTGCAACAGTGGTAGCTTCTTTATATGGTAAAGCATATGCAACCGGCCACTTGAAAAAAAAATCTGTGCAACTTAAAAAATATTTGTTGCCCATTGCTGTTTCTGTAAAGGGTCCAGCAAAATCAATACCCACAATTTCCCATACTCGAGTTGTCTAAAGTTATTAAATATAAACAGTATAACAAGACCTTATTATGCTGCTTAAAATTGAATCTAAATTATTCTATATTAGGTAAGGAGTTAAACTGCTCGCTTCATGATTAAGGTTTTTTATGGTCGAATGGCATTCTTGGATCGTAACGCACTCGATTTAATTTATTATGCAGAAGCTTTGTCTAACAAAATTTATGTTTCAGTGAGATGGATTTCAGAGAGAGTTGCAATTAGTTAAGATGAAAAAAAAAATTATTATAATATAGAAGAATATCATTTAAAAAATGTATTCTTCTTTTCTGTAGAGTCATTGGACAAAGTATTAGTTTTATAAATAAAGTTTTTTACTGTTATAAAAATCATTCTAACCTTGATGATGAAATAAGTGCACCTGCTGTTTGGTATTGCTTGAATTGTTTTACCTGTTACAATAAAAGTTGCAATTTTAATTCAGTTTTAACTGATTAATTTTTTTTAATTGGTTATTACCAACCCATTTTATAATAGCCGTAGTCATATTTGGCCAGTAGTATTTTTCCATAATTTTTGACTTCGTCTTTGTTTCACCGCTATGCCCTCCCAAAGGGCTACCGTGTTCCTCAGTAAAAATCTTAATTCTTTCTTCTTCACAAAGTATAATATCCGCGACATAAGAATTTCCGTAGATTGTGACTTTCCGTTTCAACTTGCCTTCTTGAATAAAGTTTGTTAGACATTTTTTTGGTAGCATGGAACAATATTTTTACTAAACTAAATGTTGCAAAAAAATTAAATTACCTTGCACAACGTAACTTCGAGATACATCTCTTAGACATCGTTTTTCATTTTTTTTAAAACCAGCCGGATAAGTCTTCTCTGTTCAGTATTTAAAGATGTTATTGAAATAAATTTCTTTTTTTTCACCGTTTGACATCGTTGAGAGAACCAACCCACTTAACAACACTGAATTACTGATTTGTTTGAAACATAAGAAGGTATTTATGCAACAAATTTGTAATTTTGCGTGGGTTAAAACTGCCACAATTGCTTCCTAAAAACTTAATTGCTGGTTTGTGGACAATGCCAGAGCATTTAAGACGGTTGTTTTTTATAGTAACGTTGAAAATGGTTTACTTAAAAGTATGTTAAAATCACAAGACTTTGATTTTAACAAATATTTTAGGCGTATTGTAACAATGATCCACCTTGGAATTATTTACGATTCAGTTTTTTTCCTTGTGCAAAAGCTTGTGGATTTTAGCATTACAAAGATTTTGAAATAGGTGTCAAAAAAGTAAATCTCAAAAACATTTTAACTAATCCTAATAATATTTTTTTGAGGAATAATTTTTGCTAATTATTTTGTCGGCATTTTCTTATTGCCTAATTAGGGAACAAATAAGTATTATTACAAAACCGAATAACTACTTATAACTGAAGGTCTTTTCAATTCATTTTCAAAAGCCATTGCAATCCTCAACCTCAACAAAAATGAGATTATATTTATATTCTTCTATATAATAAAACAGGTACGATCCCTTTTTTGTTAAGATTAAGGTTTGTACAGCAGTATTTCTCAAGTTAACTTATACGATTGTTCTTTTACGCAATTTTCGACCAAATAGCGCCTTAAAAACACGTTTCAAGGTGGATTCGATAAAGTTAAATGGTCGAAAATCAAATGGTCGAAAAATCGTCGAAAATCAAATGGTCGAAAACAATGGTCGAAAAATCAAAATCCTTCTCTGATGGAACTGCAAAAATAAATATATATTTATTTATAATGCTTATGTAAATAGATTTGCCTGTTGCCAGTTATGGGTCCGGTACCACCCGGTCGGTTGGTCAACCCTAAAATAGGGATTCCAAAAGCGTCAGGGTCACGACTACCCAAAAAGCAAAAATTAAAACAATTGACAATAAAATCCTCGAAACAGAAATAAACAAAAAGAAAGATTGATATTTGGTTTAATTAATTTTACAGGTGATCACTCCTTGGATCCGTCAATGCTTGTTTTTAAGATTTTCTTTCAAACATTTTTTCCTTCATCTTTTTTTTATAATTTTTAAAGAATATATTTTTTTCTCTCGTTAAACTAATCTTTTTTCATTTCAGCTTTTGCTGGGTGATATAAAATTTATATTCTAAAGAAATTGATCATTAATTATTATAACAAAGTATATAGTTTGAAATATTTGAATTCACAAGACATAGTTTGAAATTTTTATAACTTTAAAAATATACACAAAATATAAATATACATAATATACATAATATATAAATATACTTAGGTAAATGCTTATGTATTGACTATATACTTCAGCATCTACTTAAAACATATTCATCTACTTAAAAAATACTATAGAACCTTGAAGTTAAAGATATACATTTTGAATCTATAAATTATTTAAATAAAATGTATAAAACTGCTTTCATAATAAAAATTAAAAAAAATTTGAGAGTAATAGATTAGACTACATTAAAGAAAATGAGAACATTAAAAAAATATCATAATAAAAGATTTGTTTGGTAAGCAAAAATAATTTAAAAGTAGGTTCATCCAGTTTCCACACTCTAAAAGCAGATGGTTACGCAAGTAACAGTACAGTACGCAATTGATTCAAGTGTTTGATCTTCTTTATGGATGCATTTTTCCTGTACTGCTTATATAATGTTTGTATTTCGAAATTTTTGATCCTTTTGAACTTTGGAAAATTTTTTGTGTGGTTCAAATAATTACATTTTATTTCTATATAACAGCATTAATCTTTTATCTTGGCATTTTGATTATCTTATTCTCCATTTGGTTCTGTTAAATAAAAAAAAACAAAAATATCAACACGTGAAAGTATAAAAAAAGAACATTAACATAAACAATTATACAAACTTACATGAGATTGACTTTGAATGAAAATCAAATTTATTAAAACACTTGAGATTCTTCTTTCTAAATCGTCTGCTCGTATTTGAGAAACCAATTTGAAATCAATCTGTAAACAAAACAATTTAAAAATCTTAGAACTTCGTATTATTGGAAAATACAGAAACAACAACAATTAATCAAAGTTTAAAATCAAAACATGGAACAATAATAAAAAACTCAATACAAACACAATTTTTTGAATTGATTTATGAAAAAATAAAACAAGATCACTTCTACTCAAAAGCATCTTATGTTGATTAATTTACTAGGAGATAAAAAATCAGACACTTTACAAGGGGTAGGTGATAATTCAGACAGATGTAAAGAGCTTATTAGAGTATTTTTAAGTAAATAAATCACAAATTAATTTACAGTTGTATAGTATCAATCATTATCACAAAACACCATGATCACATCATCTCATATTATACTGATGTATTAGGGGTAGGTAAAAATTCAGACGCTTGTTTTAGTGATTTACAAAGAGAAGGTGATAATTCTGACATATAAAAACTTTCTAGACAAACATTCATTAACACAATTAATTCATACTTGCGTGCATTACCATTAGGACCGAAATAATATTAGCTTCTAAAGATATAACACTAAACTTACCTTTTTAGCACCAGACTGACAAGGTGGGGCAAAAAGAAAACTGAATATCCTGAAACAATTAATAAACTTTATAAGAAATAAAATACTTAAAACTAATAAACCAATATATAAGTATTCCGTAACTTCGAATGATTATAAAGGTAGTTTTCCAATAGTGAATAAACAATATGATAAAGTTGAGCTTTAACTTAAAGTGTAAATTGCTAACTGAAAAACTTACCTTCTGCCAGTCAGAGAACGTTCACACTATCACATAAAGTCATTCAGAAAACATCACACTATAACATGATGAGTCACTAAAAACGAACAAAAAATAAATTTTTAAATACAATGTCACAAAATAAACCATCTTATACTGACTGATTTACATGGGGGAGTTAATAATTCAGGCGCAGGTTTAGTGGTTTTCTAAGGGGAAGGTGATAATTCAGACTAATACTAAGAAATTTTTTGAGCATTTTAAAGTAAAAAAGTGACTAATTAATTTACAAATAAACAATTTCTATTATTATAAAACAATACTATTATTGCACTATCTCATATAAAGTGATTGACTAAGGGGGGAGGTGATAATTCAGACAGATATAAAAAACCTTTTACAGCATTTTTAAGTAAATAAATAACTAATTACTTTACAGATGTAAAATTTCTATTTTCCTAACTAAATAACATAATCATACCATCTTATACTAACTGATTTACATGGGGGAGTTAATAATTCAGGCGCAGGTTTAGTGATTTTCTAAGGGAGAGGTGATAATTCAGACAAATACTAAGAAATTTTTTGAGCATTTTTAAGTAAAAAAGTGACTAATTAAATTACAAATAAACAATTTCTGTCATTATAAAACAATACTATTATTGCACCATCTCATATAAAGTGATTGACTAAGGGGGGAGGTGATAATTCAGACAGATATAAAAATATTTGTAGAGTATTTTCATGTAAATATATGACTAATTATTGACCGTTGTAAATTTCTATCTTTCTCACTAAATAACATAATCACACCGTCTTATATTGACTGATTTACAAGGGGGAGGCAATAATTCAGGTGAAGGTTTTGTGATTTCCAAAGGGGGAGGTGATAATTCAGACAGATATAAAGGTTTTGAGCATTTTCAAGTAAAAAAGTGACTAATTAATTTACAGATGCACAATTTCTATCATTATCAAACAATACCTATATCGGATCATCTCATATCAAGTTATTTACTAAGTCTTAGCAAGCCTGAGTCTAAGGGGGAGGTAATAATTTAATATTTTTATGCAAGTATAACAATTATAAGTATAATAAGTAAACTAGTTATATTACATTTGTATAATATCTATTACTATCAACCTTTTATATATAACCTTCCTTATATTACCTTTCAAAAAAATGGAATTGGAACATCACAAAAGACCAAGTAAACTTTATTTCTCGAATTCTTGTCCTCGAAGCGTCATTTTCGTTGTTTATATTTTGTTATGTTATGTTAGGTAATCCAGACGTTTTAGGAACACATCTAACCAGAAAGCGCAACCTCGTTTTGAGTTTTCAATAGGGGGAGGTGATAATTCAGGCGGAGGTAATAATCTATCACATATCGCTTGGCAAAGTTAAAAGATCTTGAGTAATCCGCGATAAAAAAAAAAAAAAACAGCTTTAAATTTAGTTTTAAAATAAAGCAGCGTTAACACTGTAAAATTTAACTTGTGGAAGTGTATTAGAATGTATATATGTGTATATGTATATATGTATGTGTGTATGTATGTGCATATACGTGCATAAAGGTATGCTACATAGAAACTTAAAATTAAATAAATTCTAGATTGTTATATCTCATCGGAAAGAGCCTCAATTGAATTATTTAAAAGTGAAAAATTTTCAAAAAAATTCATGACATTTTCAGAACCGATTTCGAGATAGAGTGACCTACACATTAACATTTGCACACACCATCAGGGCGTATCCGGTGGCTAGAGAGGTACCCAAACCCCATCTTACTGTCATAATACCAATAAGTCTATTCATATATCAATATATTATATTAATAAGGAATAATATACGGCTACCGGTGGTATTTATTATGATGATAAATCAGTTACATGTGAGGTTATAGATGTTCGCGATGAGAATCAGTTAAAGGCGACTCAGAATGGAATTGTTCCCATTGAAATATTGAACATTGGTATCCGTTTCTTTGATGTAGAAGGCTATCAAATGATATCAGACGTAATGTATCCCTTGGCTAACTCTGATGATGATATTAAGATCCTGAATCTTATCAACAAATCTGCAGATAAGAAGCCTTCCGAGTTGCCTACTATTAAGTTGTTGGAAAATTCTTTGTATTTTAACTATAAAGATTGGAAACCGGTTCAGACTAGATTTGCAAATGTTATTAGAACGAAAGATCCTAGATTTATAGAAAAGAATAACGTTGCTTAAAAAATTATATATAGCATTGTAAGGAATATTGATATTGGTCTTAGGAAGCCTATTAAGTTATTAGTTAACGATCCTTTACTTACAGTAGTATTAGATTTACTTATACATCGTTAGATAGAGGCGGTCAATTTATAGATTCAGATCAGACTCTTGAGCGTCAAAAGGCTAATGGGTTTTTCGACGAGACCCGGTCAATGGTAAACCATATCCTTGTGATTATTGCATGGGGCACATTCATATGCCTAATTACGGATTGAAGAATTTGTTAGCAAGAGCTATTACATCAGAAGGTGATGTTCCACGAAATAATATATGTTACCCGGTTCCAATTGATCGTTGGTATACTCAGCGAAAAGGTATATCTCCCGAGCAATATAATACTGGCAATAGCTAGTATTATAGCTAATATCTCCCGAGCAATATAATACTGGCATGCTATCTATAACGCCATTACGCCTTACTGTTGTGATTCCAAAGATCCTTATAACAACGACCAATGTTTTGAAGTTTATTTGCAACCTTATGAAGAATTATAGTAGTAATTATCGTAATAATTATGATATATCCTCTGGAGATAAACTACTTGATTCTACTCAGAATACCTATTGGAATAATTTACCTAACGTAATGCCCTTTAGTGGAAGTAAATGTTTTAAGATATTATACTTTTGTATTGATCCTGCCTATATTGGTAAGGATGTTATGCCTACTACTGTTCGTGGTAGACTAAGACTTAAAAATCGTATTCAAATATTTGAACGTGATTGGACCTATGATCGCACCCGTGTTGATCCTGTTAACGAGTTGTACAAAAGACTACTATTAAACAATCTAATGTTATTCTATGATGTCGTATTTTGATGTAGCATTCATTGTTATTAATGTAGGATGTGCATCTATAGGCATCACGTCCTAAAACTTTACATACGTAGTAAGCGTCGACGACCCTTCCAGTAATTGTTTCATTAACTGTATAACACCTATATGTTCAAAGACTATCTCGTCACAGTGATAGGCCATGCAATTACTAAGTGCTTGTAGTAAAAATGGTTAGGGGTTTGGGCCTGTGGGACAATTAAAATATCCGATTTTGTGTGGTAGGAAGCTGGAATAAAAGAACGTTGCCTAAGAAAGTTTTTCTGGAATAAATTGGTCCACATAATATTAAACCTCGCTTTTTATGGTTCAAGTTAAATATAAAATTGCACAGTAATTGCCATAGCCTATACACCGAGACTTGATTTTGCAATGCCACATTTAATAGAAAGAACATGAGTGCTCCTAGTTTAGATGTGTCATTGCAAACTTTGACTCTAGGTGTTAAAACGTCTGTGTCACGTTGCTGTAAATATACCTGACGAAATAATGTTTTCTTTGCAGTCTCTCAGTCTTTAAGCTGCATAGTGAGTTCTAGGCTCCTTAACTTTAGGCTCCTGGATAACTCGTCGTCATAATGTCTGCCATTATTTTGTGCGTAAATAAATATGATGCTAAAGTCTTTTTTAATCTTTAACGTGCTAATTCTTTTTGTGTTTTAATTTTTTCATCTTTATGGATGTTATCTAGATGAAAATATATATGTGCTGTTACATACATAATTACGTTCCAACACGTATATAACGGCGTTCTTGTAGTGATTAGGGGAAGTAACTTTAATTCGCAACTAACAGGCACTACGTTGATGTCCGTATCTTCGTCGATAGATTTCGTTACACCCAAACATCCGTATCTTCTTGCTCTGTAGTAGTCTCTGCGGATACTAAGATGTTCGGCTTCAACTGCTTCTTGTCGACAGTGTATACGGCCAATAGGGCGTGCGTGTAAAATTAACCGTTAAGTTCAGACTTCTTTCCATCAAAGTATATGTATCGCGTGTGTGTCATGATGCATAGAGATAATTTCCGCTCGAGTGATTATACTACACAGATTCAGTTTCTGGTCCTGAATACATAACGTGGTATAGATCAAACCCACGTCGTAAATTTTGATTAAAAATAAACTCAAACATTTTCCAACCCAATTTAATTACATGAGGAAATTAAAATGTTAAAAAATTGTAAATGATAAATTTAAATAGATGTACTGTTATTTTAAATTTCCATTTAAAATAACAGTACATTCATTTACGTTCATTATTTTTAAACTAAAGTTAAAGTCACAGTGAACTTTCTGAAATTATAAAAACCGGCATTTAGTTTGATTTTTTTTCTTATCACAATATATTTTAATTTTTTTGAATTTCAATCAGAATGAATTTAATACAATTTTGTTGCAGATGGGTATTTTATTTTATTGTCAAGTAATGATGCGCATCTAATTTTTTTTTATCTATATAAACAATTTTATCTATATAACAACAACAACACAATAAATTTAAACTTCTAGACTCTAAAATACCACCGCGTATTACTTTACCTCTCTCAAAATAATGAAAAACTCCAATGATTTGTGAGTACTATTCGAAACGCATTTCTTTCACGCTTTCACGCTATCTGTAAGTTTTACTATTACACATTTAATGCCTTTGATTCACATGCGTAGAACAGTTATCAATAGTTTTGTTAAACAGTTATCAAAAACAATACGCATAATTTTTTTATCAACGTCCCAATTTGTTAACTCTTAGATAGTGCTAAGAGTTAACAAATTGGGTATGAGGCGCATTAATATCATAATATATGGTTTTTTAGTTATTTTTTATATTTATTTTGAGTAGACTTCCATAAATTACATCTGATATTATTTTGACATAGTGCCTTTTCGATTACACCATTCACCTTCTTCTTTTCATCCTCAAAGATTTTCAACGATCAGTTGTAATTGTAAGTCGGCTAAAAGATGTTGTAAAATTTCTTTACTCTCTAAAACTGCAATCTTCAACATTTGAATAATAGATACTCGTGAATATTATCATGAGGGCCAAGTCAGATCTGCTTGTGTTTTTTTTTACATGTCTACAATAAAGTCTTTTAAGACATATTTATTAGCACATACTGTTGTTTCGGAAAACTTAAGCATTTTCCAACACAAATTAATATCAAGAAGAAATATAAATGTTAAAAAGTTGTAAATTATGAGTTTAAATTGATGTTTGGTTGTTTTAAATGTCTATTTAAAATATCAGGTTATCCATTTAAATTCATTATTTGTAAACTAAAGTTAAAGTCACAGTAAACTTTCTAAAATTATAAAAACCAGTGTTTAATTCAATTTTTTTTCTAATCACAATTTATTTAAATTTTTTGAAACCAAAAATCTAAAGTATATTTAGAATCAATTTAATATAATTCTGTTGCAGATGGGCATTTTGTTTTAATGTCCAGTAAAGATGCGCAACTAATTTTATTTTTATCTATAAAAACAATTTTACCTATATAAAGACAAAAACACATTGAATTTACACTTCTAGACTCTAAAATACCATCGCGTATTATTTTACCTCTCTCAATAAAATAAAAAAATTAACTGTTTTGGGAGTGCTATTCAAAGCGCATTTCTTTCACACTTTTACGCTTTCTGTAATTTTTACTATTACATATTTAATGCTTTTAATTCACATGTGTATAACAGTTATCCAGAGTTTTGTTTAACAGCTATCAATAACAGTACGCCTAATTTTTTTAACAACGTCCCAATTTTATAACTTTTATAAAGTGCTATTTTGCAGTAAGAAACGCATCAGTATCATAATATATGCTTTTTAAGTTATTTTTTAAATATATTTTGAGTAGACTTGCACATATTTCATCTAATATTATTTCGGTAGCTTTTCCATTACACCATACACCTTCTTCTTTTGATCCTCGAAGATTTTCAACAATCATTTGTAATTGTAAGTCGGCTAAATGAAGTTGTAACTTTTCTTTACTCTCTAAAACCGCAATGTTCAACATTTGAAAAATAGATATTCGTGATTGTTATCATGAGGGCTAAGTCGTTTCTGCCAGTGTTTTTTTTTGTACATGTCTACGATAAAATCTTTTAAGACATTTATTAGCACATATTGTTATTTCAGAAAACTTGAGCATTTTCCAACCCAAATTCATATCATAAAG